CAATAATCATTATTTATTAGCCCTTTTACAATATAACAGATGAACAAGCTCAGGTCTATTGTATTCGGAATATTGATGTCATTGTGATAGTGTCAGTCAGAACTTTTCAAATGTGAGTGTATTTTATGAAAGTGTATTATTGGTTCTATATTTTGTAATTGACCATTTTTTTTTCGTTTTGTTGTCTTTTTCACTGATTACTTCATCCTACCAGTATATAAGTATTTGTCTATTAGATGATATCTTCTTGAGCTATTAAGTGATAAAATTCTTTTGGATTTTTTGTCTGCTCTTGCTTTATTCTATATATCTTCTTTACTATTTTATTCTAAGCTTTTTTTAGATGTTTTATAAATATAAACATGAATATTGTCATTGTGGCTTACATAATTTTATTTCTATATTTCTCCTCTACATCTATCGATGTTTTGTTGTCATCTATCAATATTGTTATTGTTGTTTTTTTCTTGATCCTTATTTCGTTTGTCCTCTTCTGTTTCATTATTTTTTCTTGTGATATTTTATATTATGTTGTGTTAGTGTTCTCTAGTGAGTATTCTGTTATCTCTTTGTCCACATCCCAGGCAGAGACGGGGGCTTCGGGTCTTTCTCAGGGGGAAAAGAAGTTCTGGCTACATCGACAAGCATCCAAACGAGAGTCCTTTTTGAGCCTCTTTTATGTCTACATCCAGGGCTATGTTCTCCCTATCAAGCTAAAAGAAACAAACCCATGTTTATTTTGGAAGGAAACCACACATAGATTTAATTTAGTTTAACCTAACTTTAAACATTTTCACTCAATAACAGACCATGAACTGAGATCACCCACACATTAAATCCATTATTTGTGTTTTGCAGCCACCCAAATTCAGCTGGATTCGGAGTCAGCAAGAAACTTATCGGAGGAGTCTGCTGGTAAATCTGTAAGTTCCTGATAATGTTGAAACAAACAAAGGTGTGAGTTTAACTGAATGAGTGCCCTAATGGGAGGTTAAAGAAGGGAAACCTATTAAAGCATATATGTTCTTACTGATACCCACCTCCTAAAATAAAAGTGGTAGTGAGCACAACCACCGTATCTCCAAGAGATACGATTACGAGTGGCTATGCAACCTACACCCACATCCGCACCACTGCTTGAACACCTCACACACCACAATGCCTGGCTTGTGTCTTGCTACTTTCTCCTTCATTTGTCCTCTCTCTCGGCTTGCACCCACTCGGACGGAACCATGCGCATCGTGTGTACGCGGCAAAAAAAAAAAAAAAAAAAAAAAAAAAAAACAAAAAAAAAAACCAGTTCAAACGAAACGTGAGTATTCCTTTATTCCTCGTAACTAATTCCAACAGGGTGACCTCAATATCAGGTACTAGCTGACCTGCCATCCATCTTGTTAATAATCATCGTGTGAATTCTGTAGTGGTTCAATAAGTTACAAATAGAACTTAACTGTCAAGAACACCGTTATTGGTTCATGTTATATATGCTATTAACTCCAGTTCTGATACTTTCATTTCAGCATATACGCAGCACATGGTATTTCAACCTAATAGCAATTACTCTACGCCAGGGGTCCTGGTATAAACCAGCAAATGGGGTAATGCCCCTGCGGCTATTCAGCGTACTCAGGAGCCAGTTGTGTTATTGAGTAAATGCAAATGGTCCCCAAGTCATTCTACATGTCGGGACAAACCCTCCATCTTCTCAGGCAATGGTTTCAGTATCCCTGTGATGTCCTAAGGAAACCAAATCCCTATCTCGACCAAGGTAAAATTTATTGGCGGGAGAGGCTCAGCAGCTTGTATTTCTATATATTTTTGTATTATTAAGCCTATAAAATGCTTGACTTTTAAATCGTGTACAGCCCTTGAAAGGTAGACCTCCAGAAAAACGCTGGGCAAAAATCTGATTATGCGGGCTAAAATCCTTGATTATGCGATTAAACCATGCGGGGTTTTTATGTGATTTTATCGGTGAAATTGCTGGGAAAGTTGCTAAATATGGGGGGAAAAGAATAACAATTTTTTTTAAATATTGGGCTGGTCTTATTTATTCTCTCTCACACAAAACCTGCCACTAACCGTTAACCCCTTTTACTATTCAATTAAACACATTCAGTTATTTATTGTAAAAGCAATTGGCATTTTTAATCACACACACACACACAACTTCTCCGCCTCCATTCTGTTTTCATTACTCGTTCGTCATATCTGATCCAGCTTCAATCTTCGTAGGCTACTCACTTTGTTTCTTGTAGCCCTCGAAAGGGTTTTGGAGGTTGATCCCTCAGTGAGGCGTAAGTTGTTTGGCTTTTCTGTCCTCAGCAGCAGAAAAGCATTTTCGAATGTTTGAATGAATCAAAGGGGGTCGTCACCGTCGATTTTCTCTTAAATGTCCAAACCACACAGTTGCACGGGGTGGCAGAATAGCTTTCCCCCCCACCTTTTTTGCACCGGTCTTTAGTAGAATGTCGTCGGTAATGAGATGGATAGATTTTTTTCATCATTGGTGTTTTCTCCTATCTGTGTGAGCTCCACACGTTCACTCTATACAGTGTGTTTACATTCTGTGATAGCGCGAGCTGATGACTTCACTGTCAAGACCGAAGTTAACTTTTTTCCTCCAATTTTGTGTGGAAAAATGCGGGGATTATGCGGCTTTTGATAAATATCAGCCTTTTAAAAATCCTGCGCCATTTCGCTGATTATGCGGTAAATTCCTGCGATCGCAGGATCGTGTTTTTCTGGGAGGGTCTAAGAAAGGGTTGAATGCGTACTCAGGAGCCTCTATACCCGTTGTGCTCAATTTTTTAAATCCTGTCACTGCAGCCGTGTGTATGTGTTGTTTTTTCCCTATGAAGGATGCTGGCAGCAGTGGGACAGTGAGCCTGGGAGGAATCTTTAGACAACCCCCACCGACTTCCAGGAAGTCGGCCAGACGTCATTTCCAGGAGGGGGCTAAGGGAGGAACAGGTTAGACGTGAGTTACACCTCTACACATCGCTGACAGATGAAATAAAATACAAAGACATACAAATGACACACTATTACTTTCCCATGAAAAGTATCAATCACAGTTGGGTTATCCTACATGCCAACACAGTCTCTGTTACTATTGTTTTTAAGACTAAGCTAAGTAGTGAGTCACATAATTTTTTCCATAAACATCTAACCACCGTTCCTAATACTGGCTGACTAACAAAGCTGAGCAGTGTGTTTGAACACAGACATGGGCTTAAGCTGCATCAATGTTAACCTGGTTTAACCTGTTAGGCCGGTAGCCCCGCCAGCCGGGGGCGATCACAACAATATTACAGGAACGGTGTCTTCAGGGGCGTCTTAACATTTAACAACCTATTAAATCCACCCAAATGATCCCAGAGGTGGGTTTTTTTTTTTTTTTTTAAACTCTCTAAAAAGTCAAATGTCACTTGTTTGCATCAATCTTGATACAGCGGTAGTAGGGGTGTAACGGTTGCACAAACATTTCGGTTTCGGATATGTACCTGGTTTTTTAGGTCACGGTTCGGTACGTTGTTTCGGTCAGCAGAAAAAATTATCACAAAACATAAAATATAATATATTTTTTTAATTATTATTAAACTGTGAATAATGTATTCACGTCAATAAAATAACAAAATTAATAAAATAAACATTAAGGTGCAGCATTTCGATGAACTGAAATAATCTGTATTGAACTGTACTGTATAGTACTCACAAAAACTTAAACTATTAGTTTGGGTTTTAATTATTATAAACTGTGAAATATATACTCAAATAAATATAAAATAAACATTAAAAGTGCCAACATTTTCCGAGAACTGAACTATAATCTGTATGTGAACTGTACTGTACAGCCTAAGCAACCAGTTGGACATTATGACTTGCTTGTCATTGTATTTTCATGTTTTTTTAAAGAAAAATTAACTTGTCCACATTGCTTGCCAAAAGGGCAGATCTGCTGGCACTAATGTCTCCTGCTGTGGAGAACACCCTCTCGCTAGGGACAGAGGTAGCAGATACAGCCAGGTAGCGCTTTGCTAACATGGCAACATAAGGATATTTGGCGTTTGTAATAGCTTTGGCTCGGTCTGAACTTTTTGCGAGTGGTGGAGGCTTAAATGCTAGTGGGAGTTGGGTTTGCACTTCAGTCTTTTTTCTTTTGGTACCGGTGATATTCACGTTCGGGTGATGCCTTTTCAAATGAGTGTGGAAGTTTGATGTATTGCCAGCCGCGTAACCAATAGTTGAACAATGCCGACAAACAGCTTTGGTTCGGTCCACCTGTCTTTGTCCGTCATCCTTGTACGTAACTGCGAAACCAAAATGTTCCCAAACCGGAGACTTCAATGATGCTGGAGGATTTTCGAGCTCAACTTTATCTGCGTTCGCCATTTTGACAGTTCCTCAAATTACTGACTACATTTGAACGCATCCCTGTGACCAACTCTCATAGTATGCCTCTCGTCCAATGTATTTATTTGGTCGCTCTATGACGCGTTGAACCCAATGTGAGCAAATTACTCTGAATGCTGCGGCGCAGCACCTGAGATTACTTCCAAAAAGTTGTTCACGTTCTCAATAATTTCGGTACGTGTACCGTTACACCCCTATACAGGGTACTTTTTATATGTTGTACTTTGGATTCCTAAATCTTTTAGTCTACCTTAACATCATCCAAGGGTAGTTTTCACTATAAGTAAAAAATAATGTTTGGACGGACCCTATAATTTACAGTTTTTTACTATGTTCAAACTGAATTTTCTTTAAAATAAAAAACATCTATATTGATTCTGACTCTTCTACATCCAACTCACAGGTTTATCATTGCTTTGAGAAAAAAGATAATTAATTCAGGCTCAGGGCTTAACTGGTTAAACTCCTGGAAATTCCCAACATCATCCATCAACCCTTAGAGCACTTCAGGCTCTCTCCAACCATTTCCCTGCCTGTCATGAGACGTATATCAAAGGTTCAAATTACCATCCGAATCAGGCCGTGGCCTTTCTATTCAGCTTCTCCTCCTTTCAAAGTTCATTTTTCAAATAAGTGAGAAGGTTACGTTTTGAAAAGGTTTTCATGTGTTGAACGATGTTTTTCCAACACTCTCTTTATGTTTGTTTAGCCTTCCAGCAGATCTCCAGAGGGTCCTGTGAACCAAGAGACGGCCCTTCCTGCCCCCAGTGTTGGAAAGGAGAAGGTAGTAGAAAGGTAGGTTAATTGATTACATTTTCCTTGTTAAATTATTCTTCATGAACTTTGTGAGGTGTAGATATTGATGTCTTTCTTTCGACAGGATTCTGATGCCCCCTCCCCCACCTCTGTTTGTGGCCCCTGCCCCTGTTGCACGCAAAAGGCCGAGAGACACAGAAGACCCAGTCAGTCTGCCTGGCATCACCGCGTCTATGGGTATGCATTTCTTCATCTCAAATATCCTGAGGGTGACACCTCGGACATGTCTGTTGCATGTAGCTGCATCTCCCCCCATGGAGGAGTGGTGGAGGAGTGGAGACCTGTGTGACGCTCCCCACTGGCAGAACCCACTAACGCACTCCTCGTGTATATGTCTTTTGTCTTTCCCTCGTTTTCTCTCTCAACATGTGACCCTGGACGGCCTGTTATGGATGTGTGCGCTGCTGCCGTTTCATTTGGTATCTTCCCATCCCTGGCTGTGGATCAAACGAACCCAAAAACCAACGCTAACATGGGGCTCCTCAATGGGTTTCCTTTTCTCTTTAATCTCGCCACCCCCCCTTCTCTCTCCTTTTCTCTGTCTCTTTTTTTATTGCGTTCTTACAGGTGTTCAAGATGAGATCGGCAAGAAGACGAAAGTCGACGAAGATACGTCTGGGCTAGTCCCCTACGGAGGAGACTCCTCCGACGAAGAGGAGGAGAGGACGCGCAGCAGTAAGCCCGATCACTCATAACCCCTGCCCCCCCCCCAGTCCAGGATACTCACAGACCCAAAGTCTCCATTCGGTTTACCAACACAGTTCTCAAACCCCGGAAAGGAAAAATCCGCCCTTTCATTTTCATTCACTATTTTGCCTTTTTTTACTACAAAGAGGGAATGCATTGATTGCTGATCATTGTCCAAGTAGAGTTAACCATTTTAAAACTTGCAGAATGTTTTTTGTTTTTTTTTCATCTCCATGTGGCACTTACGGAGAGGAACATCTGGCCCCACTTTATGTATCACATCCTTTTTAAAAGGCAGGGGACCAAAATGTACAAACTGACAGGTTGACAATCTTAATATATCATTATTTTATAGCACAGATGATTATTAGTAAACGGGCTGTAAATAAAAAAACAAATACTGGTATGGTCTTTGAATAATCACCATCTCCTGATGTTTGGTGCTTTCGTGGACTCTTAAGGAGGAAAGGTTTTTATTGAATGGTCTTGGTCTAGGTTTTGCCATGTGTACTTTTTCAGTTTATTTTTTTTTTCTCTTATATCACACAAGGGGTGTGAACCTGTTGGTTTCTCTATAGTATTGCACACCTCTATAGCAGTTGTAAATATAGAAAACCATGCCAACTATTTCATTGTGCATATTTGTGTAGCCAAATGACTTATAAAGCGCAGCACATCTTGTGGCTTCATGCTCATTAGAGATTGTAATGGTTTTAGAAAATATAAATCTTTCACCTTTGTTATCGCTGTCTTGATATAAACCTTTCTTTCTTACTCTTAAGTGTCTGACTCCAAAACGTTCACATACAATTATGAGAAGATGGTCATTTTTGTAAAGATGTCACTATTAAACAAATTACTCACTTTGATCAGTGAAAGTATTCAGGGTGGATTTTCCCTTTTTTTTTTTTTTTTGTTGAATACTATTGTGACTACATGATCTTTTTTAATTTCTTTAAACCATCTTTTTGCTCATCAAAACAAGCCCCTTTATTTCCTACTTTTTAGTTCAAACACTTGGTCTGCTGCAGTTACTGATGCTATAAATACATATTGTAAAATTCAGTGAAACTTTTTTTCTTATCTTGGAAAATGGTGTATGCCTGTTCCCATGGAATACTATAATAAAGAAACACTTATAAATAAATCTGACTTATTGTCTTTGGATCTTACACAATTGCGAAGAGCCGGCATATGCTTTTATTTATTGGGACTCTCCCAGAACTTTGGTAAGTAAGAAAAACAACGTTATTTCACGTCCTTCCAGCCCTGGGTTTTATTCCGTCATTCTGCTGTCAGATGAATGCGTACTCTGGAGCCTCGATGCCGTTGTGCACAGTCAGAGCTCCTGGGTTATCCAGGCCAAAGCAGGGCTGCACATAATTTGGGAAGTTACAGTGGAAAGTGTGTAGGTGTTGTTCCAGATCCACGTTAAAAAAGGACAGAGTCCCCCTCTCGTAGTCCAGAGCCACCCCGATCCGCACTGGGTTCACTGTGATCCTCAGGTCAGGACTGCAGCCGCCGTGCAGAAACTCAAATTTATGCCTGAAGAAAAAAGGGCATTTTGTCAGCCATTGTAATTCAATTTATTACCCGTTTTGTTTACACACTAAAGGATGTTTCTTTGGTGTATTATTGTGCATAGATAGAATGAACGAAAAAATGCTCTGTAACATATTTTAAAAACAGATGATGCTGTTGAATGAGTAATGTGAATAAATTGTTAAAATTATATTTATTACTATAAAGATGTTCACGACGTAAACCACATTCAGCCCTTGTGTGATCATTGCGCACTCAATGTGACAATCCAAGTGTCCTGCTTTGAACCAAGATGAGTTGCCATGGCAACACTTATAAATTAACTGATATTCCACTGTGTCTTCTACAATCAATAGGCTTTGTTTTGTGGGAGCGGATGCACAATTTTTTTGCTTAGGAAAGGGAAATCTCCTGCGGCAAAAAATATATTTGTGGCCCAGATTCCATGTACTGCAATAGTAGACCCTCAGAGGATCAGCAGGCTAATAGGATCAGATTGACTGAACATCTTTATCAACTTGGGAGGGAAAACATTCCCCAGCTTGTTTAATGGGGATGGGAATAACAAGTCAATCAAGGGACTGAGCAATCACTCAAAGATGGAGAAGTATGCTTATCTTATAGCGATCATGGAATCTCTTACGTTTGAGGTCAGTTATATAGGAGGAATAAGGTTTGAGACAGCTTATGCAAATCTATATTATATAACCGTCTCAAACAGCAAGTATAATATCCACAGTAATGCTTTTTTAACAGACATGATGCATTTACCTGGATGGAGTGAGAATGTGCCTCATACACCAGGAGGTGTTGTTGGCTCCGAGGTAGGAGTTCCTCTCCGTGTCCTCAGATGCAACTCCGATCCTGAACTCTGTCCCATCATCCACCTCAACTTCCCAGTAATGCCTGCCTCGTACTGGGATCAGATCCCCCAGGACAGCAACACATCTGTACACACAGCCTTACTTTACATATCTCCACTCTTGGAAAGTCCCATTATCTTCTGTCACAAAAGACTATATTGTATTTTTACCTGCTAAAGGTGTTGTTATCGTCTAAGGCCATAGCGCTGATTGGCAGCTCCTCGTTTCCATAGAAAATTGTGAAGCCGTCCTCAGAGATGGAAAGGCAAGAATGGGCAGTTTCCTCCAGGAGGTAGAAGAGTGTACCTGTACAGGTAAAAAGCAGAGATGGAACTTATAAAAGTGAACTCACTGAAGTACGGTTCCCAAATACAATTTTGACTACTTCTATTTGATGCTACATTATTCTTCCTACTTCACTACAATTATTAAGCCATCTATAGTAAGCTATTATACAGGTCAAGGTGTATAGAACAACCTGATTCATACAAAGAGATGATACATTTTTATAACTCTAACTACCAAACATAGACAGTTGTGTGACCATTAAAGAGGGTTTCATCCTCAGATTCTATCTATCTATTCTACATGTTTTTGCAATGGTTCCCAACCTGGGAAACATGACCCATAAGTGGGTCAATAGAGGAATCCAAGAGGACACCTGTGGCTGCTATGGCAAGGCAAGTTTATTTATATAGCACCTTTCAACACAAGGCAATTCAAAGTGCTTTACAACAATGAAGAGCATTAAGAAACATATTATGAAATGGCATTTAAAAACACTCATTTAAAAAAAAGATAATAAATCATGAATAACAAAGGTACATGCATTTAAGTTACAGTGCAGTGTGAGATACACACATCTGAAATGTTTAGGTCTGACTCTCAATCATTGCTAACTTGTTAGCAAAAATCGTTTCACTTTTTTTCTACTTTATTTTTTAACTTATCCTTTAGTTATTTCAAGTGTTTAATGCTTAATGAACCCCTCTTTTTAAAATGTTAATCTACAATCCAATATTCAGAAAATTCAATGAATCTTGGGCATATTTGTGTAGCATATTAATTTGCTCCCGGACATTCATGTGGCCTGCTAGCTATGAGTTATTTTACTTTAGACGCTCAAAGTGAATTTCGTTGCTTTACTTCCGCTCTTCTTCTAAATGCAGGACCTTTACTTCTAACACCATTTGTTTTATAAATCAGTACTGCTACTTTGACTTCTTTCCCCCAATGTATGAAAGTACCACGAACAGCTGATGCCTCTCACCTGTCGTGGAGACGGTGATCACTTCACTCCTGTCGCTGGGCCCACCGATGTTGACTGCTCTCACAGAGATGAGGTAACGGCGTCCTGTCTGCAGCTGGATCACACACTGACAGGTTGGCACGGCTACAATAGACCTGGACGATTAACCAATGGGACAGAAGGCTGATATCACTTACTATTTAAACAGTCTTATTGCACAATGATGACAACTTTTTGGATTGGCTTTTATTTCCATATCTTCAGCAGAGTGTAAAGCCTTGAAATAACAACTTGTCTCACAACTTCTGAAATAGTAGGTGGATAAACGGGGTGTTTAACTAAGAATTTTCTCATAAACTAAGGAAAGATCCATTACAGTTAATACCATTTAGGCGCCTCTTTGCAAAAAAATGCAGAGACTATTCATTATAAAAAAGGTTTTCCTGTTCTCCAAAGTTATCAGATGAAAAATGAAAATGACCCCAAATGTGAGGACGGTATTCGAGCTGTGCTGCAGGAGCTGAGGCTAAGAATAGATTTTCTGGGACAGAGTGTCTTGATTCAGCAGCTCTATAACCAAGGGACCTAAAAAAAAACAAGCAGGCACTAACAAGGGCTTTTTTATGGATGTATTGAAGCAAAAGCCTTATTAAAAGGACAGGGCAGTGAGGACCAATATCACAGGGGTGCTGCATCTTTGAAGCTCTGCAATTCACTGGAGCATTTTAGTTTTAACAGGGCTATTTTTAGTTTACAAAAGAAAGCACAATTAAATCCTGAGCTTAGTACAGCAACCTTTGGGACAAATGATGTACGTCATTCCTCGAACCCGCACTCTTTGGAGTAAGCTAAACCTTTTATCATCCTAGTGTGAGCTACATAGTCATTTATCACTTGATCTTTTTCATGGAATATTTCAGAAACAGTATTAAAAGGGTTATTTCTAATGCACATGTACTGTTACTGATCATTTATTTTTAAAGTAACTTGCTGTTTATTTTAGGTGGGTTTGTTCATTTATCTTAAACTATTTATTCTTCTCTGGCCATTGTAAAAAAGATTCTGCAATGGGAATATTCCTGTTAAAATAAAGCTTAAATAATCAAACTGGGTTTAAGTTAATAACTAGTTCTTACTCAGTTATGGCATTCTCTGTTCCATCAGTGCCCATCTCACTGAGCTCCACCGTGTAGGAGTCCACAGGGTTGGTGTTCCCTGACTCCCAGCGGATCAGAGCAGCCTCTGGACAGCTGGTACACTCCCTCTGCTTTATCACTGGAGGCGATGGCACTACAGCGAGAGAGCAATCACGATTTACACTTTATTCCCTCTAACATCAATCCTGTGAAGCTGGAGCGATTACAAAATAGATAACAGTGATTTTAGGAGAGATCCTGAGACCACAGGACTATTATTTAAACGTTCACAAGTTTTATGAACCCTCGTGTTGTAGGAGTGCAACATTTATTACCTGTCATGTATAAGGCTTTCTCGCTCGCTGGGCTGATGCCCGTGGTGTTGGTGGCAGTCACCCAGAGTTCATACTGAGCGTTTGGCACCAGATCTGCCACAGTGCAGTGGGTCTCCTTCACTTTCACCTTGCTGACTGAAAAGCAGGCAAATGGCTGCACTGATTACCATCATACTGCCAGTATTCTTCAGAGACATTTCCAAATCAATGTTATTCCAACAGTAGATGGTGTTATCATGCAATCTGTAGTCCGTGTCTTGTACCAGGTGGTGCACAGGAGCTGTCTGCTGGTGTGTCCTCCAGCACCGGCCTGTAGTACAGCTCATAGTACTCCACCGTGTCGTCGGAGAACAGGCTCCAGCACACACGCAGGGACGTCTGGGAGGCCGAGTTGGGCATCTGTGGGTTGATTACCGGGGCTGATGGAGCTGTTTATATATTGGTGAAACATTTTTTATTTGTTTTTGTTATCACGTCATATAATCAAAAGTACAACGGTGCAGGAGCGGTTTTGCATAAAATGCATTACGACTGCTTGCTGTAGTTTAATCTAAAAGCGGACTTTTTCTGGTTTGGCTTGTTGATTTAATTGTTTATGTCCATAACGTTTTTCCACTTCCCTACATTCACAACTTGGAAATGACCATATCTGACCAATGATCTTTGTTACTCAGGTAAAATCATCCCTAAGATGTACTTAAAATATCACTGTAATCCTATCATTTGCTTTTGTAGGCTTACTATGTACCACAGCTCCCATCATAGTGATAACCTCAAGGATGTTTAGGGAGACTTCCATCATCAACTGTACTTCCATCTCCTATCTGTATGATGGCTTGTGGATGAAATTCAATAGAAATATATTTCCAATCCCCACAGTCTCTTTCTCTGCTAAACCCAATAAATATTGTTGCAGGCAAATGATGTCTCCTATAAATGAACCCTCATCTCTTTGCTGTACTAACAATTAGTTATTGATTATTAGCAGCACTGTAGCTGATTTGGGGAAACTATTTGTAAATCAGACCTGGAACAACGTTGATTGAGTCCATCATGGTTTTAACATCCGACATGTCAGAGAGTGGTGTGTTAAACTCCAGACTTGTAGACAACGTGAGCTCAACCTCCTCTTTGGCAAAGTCCTCAATTCTTGTGTTGAACAAAAAAAAAAGTCTGAGTAATACAATTTAACATTTAGGGTCAAGCAGCTTGTGTCATGCTGTTTGTTTGTATAACGCTTATTAAATGTTCAAACGGTATCTATTTACATAATATAAGACTAAAGGCAAAAACATATTGTTAATCCATTGAAATCATACTGCAGTCACGGTCAGAGTCACACTATCTGGCATGCTCACTGACAAGCTTCATAATTACCTTTTAATGGTGGGCATAACTGCCTGTCAATAAAGTCAAAGAAATCAATTGAATAAAGTAAATAGATGTAGAATTACAATACAATATTTCAGATCCACAATCACTATCAGCAGTGGTTTTAACATTGACAGTAACATCCTTCACTGGAGCTAATGTAATCTGCACTTGAACAAAAGCGTGGACACCTTGAGGAACAGCCTCTTGTCCTGGCTGCGGTACACCTTCTGGGCCGTCTCAATGAGCTCCTTGGAGGCGTCCATGGCTCGCCCACAGGCCAGCAGCTGCTTGTACAGCGCCTCCAGCTTGCCCTTCTTCTCCTCCTCCAGCCCCGCCGCCCTCTCGTCGTAACGCTGAGACAACGTCAGCAGCACATCGTTGTAGTGCTGCTCCAAGTGCTGCTCCTGACGGCCAAAATTCTCCTGCACATACGACCACAGTTAAAAGAGATTTACACATGTGTTGCGCATTAAACTAACTATGAAAAGAAGAGAAATGAGGAGAGGAAGATGGGTAAAGGGAGGCAGTGAATGATATGTCCGTGTTTGACTTCTGAGTTAGGGTCCTCCAGGAGACACACATATACTTACAAAAATAAAATCTGACATATTGAACTTTCTTTTTGTCTTCAAGTTTGATAAAACTAAAGTATTTGAAAATAAGTATTCCCAAAATGCTCACATCGCCATAAAATAATAAATCAATGTCAAAACACATTACCACAATCTGTTCCACTAAACGGAGAGTGTTTAGAGAATAACTTTACCTCCACAGTGAGAAAGATTTCTTCCAGATGACCTGCAAAGTTCTCCATTTCAGGAACTTTCCCTTGCAATCGATTCCTGACTGTGACGATCTCACCCTGAAAACAATTGAAAGTCAAAATTGCCTTTTTAATATAATCCAGTAACAACAATTTTTCAGATTGGACTTTCTGCTCATGTGACATTGTGTGTCTCGGTAACAAAAGCTTCCATGGGGACAGCTCCATCTTCTGGGATACAAAGAAACCTGAAATGATAGATGTGCATGTGGAACGTAATTGCCATATTAAGAAAAAAAAAGGGCATGTTTTAATGGATTTTTTTTTTACTAGTCATGGCATCTCTAGCTGGCAGGTTCTGCATTTGTGCTGCTATGTTTACCAATACCATTTTAATAATTTAAGCCCAAACAAATAAAGGAAAAAAATGCAATGTTTCATTCATACATCATGGGCAAAATATGTGCCAATGTCTCACCTCAGTTTCTCCCTCTCTGAACACATTGTCATCATCCAGTTCATCTTCTGGTGGGGTGGGAGATGGAAGGCTGTCCTCACAGGGCTCAAAGTGAAGGGACTCGTTGGTGCCTACAGAAAACCTCTGGAAGGTGGACACACCTCGGGGGGGCCTCGCTTCTCTGCCTGCCATGATGGTTGAATCTCTGTTCAAATCCTGGTGCTCAGCGTCCTCTGCAATCACATCCAGTGCGCCTCCTCTGATCTCAAACAAGTCCATGGTGAGAGGGGCTGTGAGTTTTAAAAATATTTTGTAAGTTTCGGATAAAATATCTTTTTACTTCAATTCTTTATTGATTAAAAACATTTAAGAACACAACATTCTGCATCAAATAACAACTAAATAGAAACAACACACAAGAGAAGAACTAACAACTACACTCTTCATTCATTAACCCACCAAGTTGTCTAACATAACAGTCTGCTAGTGATAAAAGGATGAATTGTGATTATATTATTTGATGCATGTTTACCTTGATAATTCAGCAAAACAGTCTGTTCTCAACGGCCATTTTAGGCCAACACTGGTGTCCGACAAGTCAGCTGTGAAGGCAGTCCAACCCTCACCAAGCAGCTGTGACAGAAATAGATGGTAGGCTACTCGGATTGCTCAAATATCACAGGAATGCCAAACACACATGCAGAAAGTTGGATATTTATTGAAAATAAGCTCACAACTAATAATAAACCTTAGTTTTGATAAAACTTTATACTCATGTAACTTAAAACCAGTATCAGTTTTCATGTATTGCTACTAAGGAGGTGGAATTCCCCTAACATGTGATTCAAAGGTCGAAGTTGAAAACATTGCTAGGGATATTATGATGCCTTCCCTGCTCCTCGTTAATAACACAATTTATTCTTTCACTACCTTGGAAAAGAAAAAAATAGCTAATACTGATGATTTAACGTTAGAAATCAAGCAACCCTGAACTTTTTAACAATTCTATGTAATTTATTTTATTGAAAGTAGATGGGGTAAATAGTATTTACCTATAGTTTAAATTTAAAATGTTGTGCTCTAATGAAACTGATAGTTCCGGATATGTCAAAGGTCTTTGAATGCGGCTTACGTCACACCAATGGCGGACGTTGTAAACAGAGCCAGTAGCTTCTCTGGGGCCGAAGTGAAACAGCTGTTTTTAAGATGAATAACGTAGAAACTGAGCGTTTGGACAGTCTGGATGGGTGGGTGGCGGTGAAAAGTAACATATTTGAAGAACAGGAGACGTTTAAGCTGGGCTTCATCGTACAGTGGAGCGTCATCGAGTGTAAGTTCGCCGTCACCTGCCACAACAGGACGCTACAGCGACAGAAGCGCAGATCTGAGTGGGTCTCCGAGTCCGGGGACCCTCAGGTGAGTTGGGCCGGACTCTTCTCCGTCAGCGACATCAAACACATCCACCTGCAGTTCACATGTGTGGCGGACATCTTGGCACACTGCTTCCCGGACTTATCAGAGTTTGAGCAAGGCAACATTTGGGACCTTCTCTTCCTGAGTCGCAGCAGGTCAGGAGGTCGCGGGGAGGATGATGATGAGGAGAGGGATACAGACACGCCGTGCAGGAAACTGGAGAAATACTTCAGCACTGCTATTGACGTGTGCGGAAGAAAGATAGTGCTCGACACGTTGTTCACGCAGGATGAGCGTGATGTTGAGGAGTACTTTGAAAATCTGCTGGAGTTCAAGAGGAAGAGCATGCAGGAGGAGATGTCGAGGGCCAAGGGTCACGTGCGACAGGTGAGGGGGGTGTGACAGGTGAGGGATCAATGAGCCACAGGTGCTTCACATCGATGGCAGGTAGCAGTATTCACAAGCCTGGCAAAGATAGACGCCACCCATCGAGCTGCCCTGTGATACACAGTCTGTGTGACTTAAACTCTGAATGAATGCAGCATTGTGTTGTATTGCACTGGACAAGTAGGATTCGATTTAAGTGCTTCTATTTTATTTGAATATTTTTTTAATGTTCTTTTTAATTTCTTCCAAGTCATGTTGACGATTGAATCCTAAGCCATTACTGATATTATGACTGCGCTGGATGAATAAGACACATCTATTGTGTATTGGCTTCTCCCCTTTTTTCTTTGCAGATCACTAGCTTCGATATGATGTGGATTTGTTTCCACCTTCTATATCATATGACTGTTATTATTAAAAAATGTGCCGTTTTCATTCCAAAGTTATTTTCTAGCTTTCATGTCATGAGACCCATTGAGTCTGAATCAAGGCAGCATTGCAATTATACACTTAAAGAGTAGGAATTTTTTTTAAGGAATATTTTTGCTTGAAAATTCAGCACTTTTGTAGCTTGGAGCACATACTTTTTATTTTTAGGGCACCAACAATTTGTTTTATTTTAAAAATAAACACCTGTCATTTTATGTCGTTTTGCTCTTATAATATAGGATATAAATAGACTTCGCTCTATTTCAGTTTTTCCATGTTTTCTTCTGCATTTCTTTCCTCTGTTCACCAAGGCAAACACGTGTAGAAGTATTAGAAGCTTTCTTTGAGGCTGTCAAAAATACATGTAGACAAGCCACACTAATATTATCTGAATGAACGTTACATTTCTAAATGTTATACTAAAAGAAAGAAGATTTTGTGAGGATTTATTGAAAGATTTAGTAAAGGAAACCTCGGAAAAGCTTGACTGTATTTCCATTAAGGATTTTCTTATGAATATTTCTCTACAGGAGTAGCACCACACAGTGGTGTTACACGTCTACTATGACACAGCAAATATTTCCTGTGGGTGTGTATTCAAAGCTTAAGATGTTGCAACACCACCATCACTGTTTCTCTTTCAGACTGTGATTATCGACCCTTTAAGTGATTTGTCCACAGAAATGTAACTTGACCCACCCATCCTCACCTTTTTGCTTACTTAAGATAAGTACACAATCCAGTCAGCTACACAGCATCAGCAACATCTCTACAACTAATGCATTTAAAGATTGCATACAAAAGAAACACTGATGCATTTAAACCATCTTTTAGATCATATCATGCTTTGTTGACACTGTGCCAGAGAGCAGATCTGAGGTCATGGCTTGATGATGTTGGACTTTATTTGTACTTTATTTTACAGTACCTTATAATGTCGCCCTCTAGTGCATACAAAAGTAGTGAATTATATTGCACAGGTTTGAGTATCTTCAAAAAATCTGAGGAAATGACATGACCTTTTAAAAAATGTCTTTTTAAAAAAAAAAAAAAATCTATCTGTATTTCTGCTTGTTCCGTCATTCAAACCTACATCTATGAACCACGTTGTTTTGTTTACCTGACAACTTTTCAGTTATTGATCAACCTGACCTGGGTGAACACAAGGTCTCATCACTTGAAACCCTTGATATATGCTCTTGATAATGGTATCAGATTTGATGGGACACATTTGTTTGACTTCAAAGTCTGCGAAATGACAACTGCCAACCTCTGACTTCTTAGCTCAACCTTAAGCCGTCCCGGTTATGAAGGTGTATTCTCAAATGACTTGTATATTGACTGTTATATTACTATAATATACTTATATACTGCTATATGAAAAGGTCGCCTGAATACCGCAGCTAGGAATAACGGAATAGCTGGGTTCAGAATAAACACAGCTAATGGTGTTTATGTCTTCCATGTTGCAGCTCCTGCAGCGTCATGGCAGTGCAGACCGAATGGTGGCGCTGCTGCGTATCTACGAGGAAGAGGACGAGGCGTACCAGGACCTGGTCACCGTGGCTACCACCTTCTTCCAGTACCTGCTGCAGCCTTTCAGGGATATGAGAGAGCTGGCCTGCCTCTACAAGATGGAGATCCTGGTAAATAAAGACATCTTATTGGCAGCAATGCCTTTTTAGGATGTGGTAAATTCATATAGATGTGTTTTTTGTAAAAGAAATGACTGAATATCTTATTAATTGAAGTGTTAACGCACATAAATGAAAGGTTTTTGGAACATCCTCAGCTCGAGGCAAAATATCTGCAGACAGCTTTTGCCAAATGTGATGCAAATACACTTTTATAGCCAAAGAACATTGTCAAACTTATGTAACTGCTTAAAGATGCCAGTACTTGTGTTATACGCTCACAGTTCCTCCCACTATTTGTATCACTGTGTAACCACTGACTTGCAGCCTTCTTTCTTTACAAACACTTCCAATAACTCCAGACTGTGCACAGTCCACAAGTCAAGATATATTGAAAAAAGCTCATAAAGTAGTCCATTCCCAATATTGACTACATGACTATGTAACAACATATTTAGATTAGATATATAAGAACAATATAGGGACATGTTTTAGCTTATACCTGGACATTATAACAGTCGACATTAGTTGTATTTTCATAGATTTTCACATTAATAAATGGTAATTAACAGTTGGAATTCCAGTACGGACTAGATTTCATTCAGTGATCACTGCAGTTCCCTTTCAGTCTTAGCTATGTGTAGCTATGCTGGTGTAAGGATTGAGTGGCTTCATCTCTCCCACTCTACATCGTGGTCTTGTCGTATAACTGTACACATGTGATGGTGGAGTGATTGACGTATTACATTATTTTTGTGGAGCATTCAAGCAGAATGAAAACAAACTTCAACAATAAACTTAAATTGAAGTATCTGCCAGAAGCCTGCTTTGAATCCCAGAGTGTAAAACTGTCCACTGTCTTTCTGGCTCTGCAGAAGACTTTAGAGTTTGAGGACTTGGGTCCTAAGAGAATTGAAGCTCTGGAGAAGGAGGCGGAGGAGTGGAGAACAAAAGCAGAAGACGCAGTCGCCTCGATTCAGGACATCACCGTCACCTACTTTGCACAGACTTCAAAAGCTCTGGCTGGTACAAGTTGCTATGTTTATTCCTCTTATTTATGTATGAATTTATGACTTTGTATGTGTCTTTCCTCAGCACAGGAAATGAAGTGCACTCAGAGTCCCTAGTTGCACTGCAACAGCAAACAACATATTTATGAGATTTTATAAAAATGATCTCATATTCAAGTCCACACAAATAAAGATTTTCATATTCATTTGAAAGGAAATAGGTCAGGGAATGTAGATTACAAAACTCAAAACCGTATGTTATGGCTGCTGTAATTGTTTGTACACCTCAAATTGATTAGATTTTACTTTGTAAAAGTATCCATTTGGATTTGTAGCTGCTAATATAAGCTTGCTTTGTGTGATGCAGACATAACGGACCTTTGTGATTTAATATCCAGGTATGTCAAAGCAGATGGAGGAGGACAAGACCCGTTTTGGAGCGGCTGCCTGGGCATCTGCAGCTCCCAGACTGGAGAAACTGCGCTTCCTCTTGGCCAAAGAAACCCTGCAGCATATGAGAGCTAAAGAGATGTGCCTGAACCGCAAGAAAAACGGCATCAGAGAAATGGTATATTTTGTAAACAACCATAATCCCCAGGTTTTGTTTTTAATGGTTCTGGTAGCATCAGCATAATCCACAATGGTGTATCAGCTGGACAGTTGTAAGGCTTTATTTGTTATTCAGATCCATCTGTCATGTATCTCTTGTAACGGTATGTCTGTAGAGATGTGACACAGAGAATCTTCCACTTGGTATGCAAGTCTGATGTGAATATCTGGCTGCTGTGGTCCTTTGATCTATTTATAAAGCCTCAGTAAAAACACAGAAATGTCCCCTGATGCACCCCCAAAACCTGCATGCATGAATAAGTCAGTGCATCTGAGTCTATTCACATTCTCGAACGTGCCAGCTACTGTATCTGCATATCTGTGAGTTCAGGGGCCGTACTCTAATGTGAGGATCATATTATTTTGGGTAGACCACAGCAAGCTACTTTCTACCGTAGGGTGTCATGCTGCATATTTTCACTTTTTGTAAAGAACACCTTCAGCAGCTTCACCTTAATGTGGCTGCATTATTCATCCATGTCAGCTCTTTGAAAGTCAGGATGCCGGCAGTATCTACCACAGTGAACTCACCATGAGCCCTCACAGACACAGATGTGTGTGCGCATTGAAAAATAAGATCAGTACGCCACACCTATGCAAAATCTTGCAATGTGTATCTGTGTGCCGGCACACTGTGACAACTTAACATACTGTGTGTATTGTTGAAAATCAATGCACTCTACAGCTTTATTGATCTACCTAGCTATATTCAGACATTGTAGGTATTCACATAATTCAAAATGTTAACTGAAATACACCTGCTTTTATTGTGCCAGCTCATTAACTACATGTCAGGAAACCTTAACATAACTCTCCTACCTCAGTTTCAGTGTGTTGCATCACGATGTGGATACAAAACTGTCTTGAAAGGTTATCAAGGTTATAGCAGAGATTTTTTTTTTTAATGCCCTTGTTATCGAGTTTAAGGACACTCAAGCAATCTTTTTATTATTATTTATTTATTTATTTATTTTACCAGGCAGGAAGTCGCTTCAGAAATACTGTATCTTGTTTGAGGGAAACCCTGGCAGAGACAGCACAACAGTTAGTTTAAATATAAATTAGACACAACAGACAGGAAAAACACCCATCAACACACAATGAAGAGAATATATCCGGCTCATTTAAAACACTTTTCCGTTTACACAAGACTTTTTACATGGCTTTAAATCTCAAGGCTCAAGATTATATTTAAGATATTCTTTCATAAAATAGTTTAGAGTTGAGTCTAAAGTAAAATCCATTGAAAGTGTATTTCAACACACCAATTTTATTTTAAAACAGCCCCTGCTTGCTCCACATCTCTCTGTGAGAGATAACCACCAAGTTTCAAGTCTCTTCAAGTTATTTGCTTACTGAAAGGAATGAAAACCAGCAGCTGAATCATCCAAAATCCTGATGGGACTTTAGAAAATGGTCAATAAGCAGGCATTTTAAGTTGTTATTAGTCTGTACAACACAGAGCAGCAAGTGTGATCCTCTGACTTGTGTGTGTGGTTGCGGTGCAGCTGGGCAGCCTGTCTGGCAGAGTCCAGAGCCACAGAACTGATCCCAGGTCTGAGGACGGGCAGGACGCAGTGGACCAGCTGGAGATAAGATTTTATGAAACCCAACTCGAACTGTACGACACCAAGTTTGAGATCCTGAAGAACGAGGAGCAGCTGCTGTTGGCTCAGATAGACACGGTGCGGCGGCAGATTAAAGGTAGACGACACATGACATGAACACACAGGTGGTCTATGGGATGTCCTTGTGCGGGGGGTCAGTGACTCATACTGATTTAAATATACAGTACTTCAGTTAACAACCCTTATCAAAAAAGTGCCATTTTGATAAGGGGGGTTCCTTATCAAAAAGTGTAATTTTGACAAGGGGGTATTTATTAAAACGTTTTCATTAAAGAAAACATAATGGCAGAAGCTTCAGCACAAGATACTGAGAGAAGGCTCAAGATTTCCTCACACTGTGAAACTGTAATTGGAAATAACGGCCCTCACACAAACACACACATGTCTCCATCTGTATTTAAATTCAAGGCAGTCAAAGAGTGGATGGCTGCACTTGAACAAGGTAATGCTTTGCAGTATAACAGCCCTACTCTAGCTGAAGGGTCACTCAACAACTGTTCCTGTTGTCACTGTACCCATGCATGTACAAACTATCACAGAAGTACTTTATACTGAAGTCATGTATCAGATTAATAAGGTGAAGCAGCTCCTGGTTTCTGCAGGAGGTTTCTTTTGGGATTTATGGATGTTTATGCGTTTGTTTGATGTTTAAGCTGTTATGACTCTAAGAAGGAGAACAATTTGGACGCAAATTGTGTCAACCGTTAAGGCGGAGACGCGTGTCAGTTTAAAAACCTGTAAGAGGGAAAACATTTGTTTTTGTTTTGGGTAACTGACACCTTACAATATGATGTCACAATACACTTTTGTTAAACATATTTATTACAGGACTGGATTATATTAAGATGCAAAGGGGTTCCTCGGTGTCTTGTACTCTGGGTTTTCTTCGGGGACATATTTTGTGCATGTAAATCATTTCCTAATTGCTCCTCCTGGGACATCTGGCGTTGGCTTCCAAGTTGTGTTCCAGTCTGGGTTCAGTTTATTATCCCGACATAAAAGTGGCAAGGTGTCCTCTACCAGTTGCTCGGTAAAGAAAGCTTCAGGACAGCTGACAGAAAATATGAGATGTTTGAATCCACGGAGGCTGCTGAATTTAATGAGCCTTTTAACGGAGTTTACACGGTAAATAAAATGCTCCTCAGTGGGCAAGGTGTTTTTTCCCAACTACTTGTTTGAAAATATGAATAAATAATAAGATAGTTTTTCACAGCTAACGCAGATGACCTGTTTTTTTGTATGCATTTAAACATCGAAACCAAAATGACCTGTCAGATTAACTTGAAAATTACAAGTTATATGCAGCTCGTCAGTAATGAAAGCAAGTAATTAAACCTTCACTGAAATCAATCTGCAAGACCCTTTGAAACCTAGTCTAGGTTGATTATTCAAGCAGAGATCTACCTGCATTTATCAGGCTTTCATAACACCCTATAAATAAAATGATGTTTACTTGTTTCAGAAGTAAGTTTACCAACAAATCAGGAAAATGATCTGATTGTGAACAGTTTAAGCTGCACGACTGTGGTTTACATCACAGCTTCTGAGCTTGTTGGCATATTGGTGTACAAAGTTTGAAATAGACGTAGCACATGTTGACCTCGCTGAGCACAATGTCATCTCTGTTTAAAACTATAGAAAGCAGTCGTGAAGGTGTTAGAGTTACACTTCAGTGAGTTTAGAGAGCAGCGGTTGAACAGGTTAACGGTGAGTCTTGAGTGATGGTATTTCCTTTGCTTTGTAGAGCTGAAAGACGAGGTGGTGTACTATGATGTGTGTGAGGATACAGAGGAGCTGCACAGCTTGTTCCACCCAGGTGTTCAACAGAAAGACCCCCCCGCTCTCACTCAGCTCAAACGACGGCTGCAGACCTTGGAGACCAAGAGAAGCGGCATCTGTTCCAGGAGAGCTTACCTCCGAAACAAAAAGGTGCGGGCAAGGACCGAGTCAGATTTTTAAATAGCAGATAATACAATACATTTAAATGTTAATAAAATACGTTGGCGGCATGTTCCTCACTCCATCACGTCACAGCTCATTGCTTTAAAAGTTTTATTTTTCTTACTGTTTTATTTTTAGCAGAGTAATTGAAGCACAGTTGGTGCAATTGGCATTTTCTCTTGTTGCTGGCTTAGTGTCCGATTTAAAAAGACTAAAACATTTTATTGCTCAGAACAAAGTGTAAAGAATCCCTTGGTTAGTTAGAGGCTCCCAGGAAGCACCCACAGATATCAAAAGGCATGAATATTTCAAAAAGCAGCAAAAAAGAGCAACATTGTAATATTTGAAAAACCTTAATAACTGAGGCGTTATTTGCCCACTGTTATCAGTTTTACTGCATTTTATCTTCTTATACATTAGATGTCAAACTGTAATTGAATAATTCTATGTATCTTTGAGTGTGAGATGTTTGTGTGTTGTTAGGATCAGTGCATGGAGGCCCAGGAGCAGAAGCAGCTTCCCGCCAAGCAGAGTTCATTACTTTTCAACCAGCATCATCATGTCCACATGGTACGTCCCCATGGCAACCAATCAATCCACAGAGAAGCTTGAAACGTTGGCAGAAAACGATGCAAATGACGCCTGTTTTTCCTTATATCTCTCGCTGTCTCCCTCTGTTGTCCACAGAAACGAGAGAAGAGGAAAGAGGAGGACCAGAAGAGGAAAGAGTGGGTGGACCAGGAGCGAGAGAAAACTCTGAGCAGATTACGATCCTTCAGAGAGGTCAGGCTCTGTCATTGCCTCTGCTCAATGAAACCCCCGAGGCTTAAGACACGATTTATCTCAAAATGCAGTTATTAGTTACTCACCCCCAGTGCCTTGGTAGTCGGGCGTGTTATCGGTTCTCAATACATTTTTGGTATCAACCGAAATAACCTATTTCCAAATACAAACAATGAAGTAGAAAAAAAGGTATTCAATTAAATACATTAAAAAAACACTTTTCAACAACAGTCAGCCAGTGTTTACAGTGCATGCCATGATGTTTAGTTCAGCAACTCAGGATGCCTTTTAATGACTTTGGCGTTCCTGAGGTTCCTCAAGCTTCATCAGTGAGTAAAAAATATAACTTTCAGAGTTTTTTCAGTGCGTGCGTGTTTGCACAGTCTCTGTCATTTCAGTTTACACTCAAGTCATTGTGAGAGCTATTTAAAACAGGAGAACATTACACTGCTTGTTGTTGTGCCTCTCTCAGAACATAAAACAACACAATGTCCTCTAAAAAACATTCTCCCTCTCTTCGTCTTTTTCAAGACGCGACATGGCCAGTACATCATGAAGACTCCTCAGTCCAGGATGTCTCCCACCGAGGGGCCGTGTCCCTCCCAGCCTCTGTCCATCATCAGCTTGGGCCCCCCCGAGGGCCCCCCCCCTGTCCGGCCTGCACCCAGACGCAATAAAACACCCAAGAAAAAGCAGCCTCAAGACATCCCTGTCCAAATCTTCGCTGCACCGCCACCTCCAGCAACTTCCCCCCCCACTGCACCTCCTCCTCCTCCACCACCACCTCCCCCTCCTCCACTTCCCCCCGCTTTCCTGCCTCCACTTGTCAAAGCTTCACCTTCCTCTGAAGACACACCGATGCCTCTCAGTGAAAAAGAGGACCCTCCTTTTCAAGCCAAGATCACACTCAAACAAAATTTAGGTGAGGGGGAAACAAGTGTTATGAACCTGTTAAAAATACACTGTGTGTGTGTGTGTGTGTGTGTGTGTGTGTGTGTGTGTGTGTGTGCGTGTGTGTGAGCAGTGTGTGTGTG